TATTTAGAAATCTGATAAGAATATCATGATTATATTACATTTATATTTCAATAGCAACAGAATCAAAGCAAATCAGATATTTTGATAAATAATTTTGACCAAGAGTCACTTATCTCTGCTGCTGTTTTTTAATGATGTAATAGTGGCATTGTTTCAAAATGACCTCAACAATATTCTGCCATTTCTGTACTGCAGGGTGACCGACAAGTCTGCAACAGGCTAATATGAGTCAGCCAATGTATCAATCCACCGCTGAGTGACATGTGTCGAGACGCTGCATTTCCTTCCTCCTAAAACATAAAGTGCACATGCCATTCGGAATGTTCAATAAAATGGCAGACAGTAAATCTCGTGCACTAGTTAGTACGGAGGGATTTTGGGATGAGTGGACATTTAACCATTATTAGTAAAACTGTTAGTTTACATATGTTTGCTTGGATTATTTTTATCAAATTCCAAGGCACTGGGAGATCTTGGCCACAGCTCTTTCTATAATGGAAACATGATGTGTATTCTCTTGATTTGAACCTGCTCAAAACATTTACTTTATCTTCCTTTGCTCATGCTACACCCTCCAATTTGTATCGAACATTAGGCCAGTAGTTTAACTGCTAACAAACGTACAAACAAACCAATAAACAAACAAATCCTCTATGGGGGGAGGTAATAAATTGTCCTCTATAAAACTGAGATGGCGTTTCTTGTCAAAGGCGTTGTCACCCTCACCTTTTTGCTTGAGTTAAAAAAACTCTTACATTGTGGAGGAATAAAATGCCAATTGGGTACAAACTAAGCCGTAAAAAAGAAAGCTGCTATAACTTTCTCGCTAATAGACTGTACATTTGGTTCATTTTCATCTTTAGTTGCTGTTGTTGTTGTTGCCTAAGCTGCTGGCTCTGTTGTGATGGGACTGGCAGGGCCGGTTTTACAACCTTTTGCATCAATAACATGTTAGTTGAAAGGTTCATTCATCGAGGGATAGCATTGGCTTTTATATATAACCAATGTTTTCAGAAGTTTGTAGGATTTTATTGTATCCAAATAAATACACAACACTCGCAAAATGTATTAATTAATAACACATGATCTTAGCCCAAACAAAACTTAGTATTAGGTAGAAATAACTAAATCATCTAATAACTCCAGTGAATAACAGAGATACAGTAAGCTCCCAAGTGTTTGTAGTCTAATAGAGCTTGTAATCCCTGTTTATGTGAGATGAATTATTATCACTTTGCTTTTTTTTGCTTCCGATCTGAGTAATAAACACCTTTTTTGTGACAAATCCTCTTGGGAAATAACATCTCTGCTGACACAAAGCAGAGCTAATCACACTTCTATTCATCCTGTTTGTCTGCATTCAAGAGATGCATCAGAGAAGGTGTTTCCATATGTTATCCTCAATGTAATGATTTGACAGTCAAGGTCTGCGCTATCACTCGGTAAAAATGGGTCATGGCTTGATATGGGCATAATTACCCTTTATTGTCCAAGCTGTCCTTGAGCAGGAAATGAATATTTTCTCTATTATGTACAGGGTCAGCTGAAGTGTCCTTCAAATGTAATACAAGCCATCAAGTTCGTGCAGACACACACACTTGGGAAACAATCATGCAAAAACAAATAGCTGCATACAAACACACACACACACACACACACACACACACACACACACACACACACACACACACACACACACACACACACACACACACACACACACACACACACACACACACACACACACACACTACTACGTACTACTACTACGTACTACACTACTACTATAACGTNGAGAGTTAAAACTAGTCTTTGCTGCTGCCTCAAAGAGGAGAAGGGAGGAGAGTTGTGAGTGTGTCTGGGCTCCTGACTCAGCCTCTCCTGTCTCCCTCCTCTCCTCCCTTCTCCTCTTTGAGGCAGCAGCAAAGACTAGTTTTAACTCTCAACAAGTTTTAAAAGTGTATCTTACCTTTTTTCACCTAGTTAACATTTTTTTTTTTATTCATGCATATTTTACTAATCACTACCCTCTCAAATGGAAATATGTGTTTACATAAATGGTGACCAAACCGTTTGAGACCCACAGAGAACTTAGACTAAGTTAACTATCTAAACACTCAGAGGTCCTTTACCTCACCTGAGCTGAGGTTATCCCGAGCTTGAATGACACAGAGACCAATCAAGGGCTTTGATTTATGATCTGTATGACAGTGGCCATGTCGGCAGGCCACATCATGCCAGTCACCCTGTGTGAGGCAGGCCACTTAACAGGCCAGGCCATCGGGAAACCCCCCGGTCCTCCCGATGGCCAGTCGGGGACTGGGTATAGGTGGCGTAGAGCGAGGGATCATTGTCCACAAGTTAATCGATTGCAGATGGCTTCATGGTCACGGACGAATAGAAAAAAAAAAATCATAAAAAAAAAAAAAAACATCTAAATGGGTCGCGAAATATACTTGGGCGGCCGTTAATATACCTGGGCGGCTCGCCCAAGTATAGTCTATGTGTGGGAAACCCTGTGTGCAAAAAAAGGTCCTGCTTTTGTTTGTTGGGGTCTCCTAAAGGAAACCAGAATGTTTTAACAGTCAAATTATTGCATAAAGCAAAATCATTTCCAAAGGTTATTAACATGGGAGCATCTATTTGATGTATATAATTGCCCAATTGTACTTTTTGGGATTGTATTTGTTTTATGGTGCTTTACTCTGAACAATTACGTTTTGAACTGTGTTGTTTAAAGTCTTACAATATAGGTATTTTAATGTTTAATTTAGCTTCATACAGCTTGTGTTTCTCCTCAATCGAGCTGAAATGTAACCTTCTACCTTCCCTCTCCTTCTACTGAATCCTCGCAGCAGGGAACCTCTCAACCTTCAGCTTCATTGTGCTTTAATCAAAGATCCACATCACGGCCTCCACAGGATGCAGAGGGGGAGCAGCGGAGAGCAAAACCTCGTCCGTCTCTGTCACCCCCCCCTCTTATATGATAATGATTCACACAGTTGTCTAAGCTAATGCAAATCAGATTGTGACCCACTGTGACTTCAGTGTGTGGCTGATATGATTTTTCATCA